ATTAAGACCATTCTACAGGACAACCTAGTGTGTTGTACAATGTATGTTCCTGTAAACTGAAGCAGGCTGGGTCCCAACTACCAGTATTTGAGGACAAAGATGGCTTGAAATCACCATTTCCCTGTGCTCTGAGACGACATAGCCTTTATTACAAAGCCAGTTGTGCACAGGCATGTACAGGTGCACACCTGGAGAGAGACTTTTCCAGAAATATAAGTGATACCAGGAGATTTGCTTTGCCCAATCTTGTTTCCAGTGTGACAGTACTCCCCTTTGACGTGAAGCACTTCACCTTCTTCAGTTTACTGAGTTAGATTTAATAAGTGACAGAGTGTTCTTTATCTTGAGCTGTCACGACAAAAATACTACACCCTGCATGCTTTGAACAAAAATTTCCTTTGTCAAAGTCACGAGGGCTGGACATCTGAGGTGTCAACAAACTCAGCACCAGTGAGAGCTCTGCCTGGCTTGCAGGTGTCTGTGTCCTCATATTTTTTTTTTTTTTTCATGTATCTGGGGAGAGCATAGTCCCTGTCTCTTCCTCTCCTTGTGAAGACATTCATCCTATGGACTTGGGCCCTGCCCTCAACACCTTATTTAGCCTTACTCGTCTCTGTAATGACCTTGTCTCCAAATATAGTCGTATTGGGGAGGGGGGGGTCAGTGCTTCCACATATAATTCGGGGAGGAGTACAGTTCAGTTTGTCATAGCCGGTTGATGAAATGCTTCTGAAATATGAGGCAATGAGATATATTAAAAGGTTAAGTAGTATCTCACTGTAATCTTTGAAAGTGTGTGCTATTAGCCAGCTTATATATTCTTAGTGAAAGAGTAGCTATTTCTAGGTTATAAGTATATAAATGCATATGTAATATATAAGTATATATTAATTTTTTTTAGTAAATGTAGACCTTTGTAGTTTAACTCATATGTATATATATATATATACACACACATATATAGGCTCATTCAAGTTTTTATATTATATATAGTTAAAAGCTAGATATACATGCATGTAAACTACACTCACATATGTAAATATAAAATAATTGTCATGAATTCAGAGAACCAAGTTTTATTTAATGAGATTCTTATAAGTACTTTTTCTGTTGTGCTTTTCATCTCAAGAAACTCTGTATCTACTAATTGATGTTTTGGAAAAAATCATGGTAAACAGACTTTTGATCAGTAACAATTATTAATATAGTCTTCCACAAACATGAGAAATTTTCCTTCAGTAAAGTTTGGGACACTGGAGGAAGGTTCTGAGCTGGGATACAATTCTTACATTGATTTCACTGTGTGGATTTTCTGGGAAAAAGATAACAAGAAAGCAAGACGTATTTTGTATCATTGCTTTTTGCCACATGAATGTAAATGTCTACAGAAGCATTCAGGGGCTTCACTAGTTTTCCCAAGGGATTCTCCTGAGCCCTTTGCTACTTTAATCATGGTTTTGAACACTTTTCCAGTTGTATTTCTCCTCTTCCATTGTTGACCTTTATCTGTCAAGTTCTCAGTAAATGGCTTTGAGTGGTGTTCATGCAGCTCTCCAATCTCTTCCATGGAATTTTATGCAATTCTTTATTTGTTGTCATATTTGCATGTCAGGATGTTTTGGGCTGTCACTGAAAGACTAATAGGCTTGATGACAGGCCTAGTATTGAGTGGGGAGTAGTTTTTTTTGCACAGCTAGGCATATTTTCTTATGCCGATGATTTTAATGAAGGCTCATATCACAAGAATCTCACCTCCTAAAGAGACCATCCTCCACAGAGTAATATACAGAAATTTAGGGTAAAGATTTTAAATCAACAGCCTCTGTGCCTCCCAAGTGCCTGCCTCTCCATTTATGCTCCGTCCACTTCCCTCTAGCTCCTGTTTATTCAGATATATCTATAGGAAGTCTTCCCTTTGTGTAAGATTTCCCCCCATCAGTATACATGTGTGTTGTAATTTTTCACTTCTTAAATTTGCTAATACCTATATACCCTGTTGCATTCAAAATCTCCCCTTCCCTTTGTAACACAGTTTCTGGCTATTATTATTTACTCTTATTTCTCTTTCTTCTCTCAAAACCTTTCTTACCTCGAATCTCTCAGTTCTTCTACTGACACTTTCCTTAAGGCCATCAGCCACCTTAACATTGCCATGCTCAGTGGGACTAATGTAAAATCACAGCCACATTAACATGACTCCTCCCTAATCCTTGATACAGTTGTCCCATGGGCTTCTAGAACACCACAGTTGATTAGTAGTTTAATCAGTCCTCCTATTCCAATATTGTACCATTGGCATGATCCTCATCTTTATCCTCCAGTTACAATTATTCCTTTGGGCAGTTTTGTCCAACTTCATGACTTTGAATACCATCCACATATGCCAGTGATAAGCAAATGGTCATCTTAAAATTGGACTTCCTGAACTCCAGATTCAGATGTCTAACTACCTCTTTAACTTCCCTCAGTTAATTAGCATCTTAAGTTTAATCACATCCCTGGGTTTCTCTGGTTTAAGAGACAACCTCACTCTTAGTTGTTCCAAAGCACCAACTCTGGAGTCAGCACTGACCTTGCTCTTCCTCACCCATCTCACATTTCTCACAACCACTTGACAAATCCTTTTACCTCTAAATAGATCCACAATGTCACCTCTGCTGCCAGTACCTTTGTCTACTGTTCCTCTCCCTGCATCGCTATGACAGGGATGTGGTCCTGTGTCTCTCCTCTCCTCTCTTTAGTTTCTTGCTGCCATGAATTTATTTATTTATTTTTGATTGTATGTGTTATCTGCATTGGGCTATGAGGTGCTCAGATAATTGATCACACATAAGTCTGGGTGCCTTTCTGAGAGTTTTTGGGTGGATTAATCTTGAATTGATAAGGTGAGTTCAGCAGGTTTCCCTCCCTATTATGGGAAGACATAAGTTGATAAAAAAATTCTTATTTCTCCTGAGTAAGAGAAGTCTTCCTGCCTAGCCCCTGGGTTATCAGTGTTTTCCTGCCTTTGCATGTGATCAAACATTGACTCATGCTGGATCTTGAACCTAATGGCTGTTGGTCTCAAACAGTGCTGCCAACTCTGTTGGGTTTGAGGCCTTAACGCTCACTGTTGTAAATGTACAAAAGCCTCTCCTAGTTCACAGGTTGAAGCCTCATCCTTAATGACCTTGGGAATTGACCACCTCTATAATTACATGAGCCAATTCCTTAGATTCCCTTCCGTGTGTATATGCTACCTGTGGTCTGTTTATCTGGACAACCCTGACTTATACAGTGTTATAACACAAGCTGCTTAAATAAATTTTGTCAGTGATTTCTTTCTTTGCACAGCCTAATGGGACTATCCTTGTCTTCTGCATTGTGCATTGGGCAGTGTTCTGTAGTTGTTTCTGAGTACTTATCCACTGTGCCAGCAGCTGTAGATTGTAAAGCAGCAAGGCACATCCTTACTAAACGGTCACAGTCCAGTGTATACAGATTTCTGGAAAGACTATTAACCTGGAGTTTCATGGGCTCTGTTATCAGCCGGCTGAGCCATGTCTTGTGTCTGGTTGAGGCCCAGATGCCATTTTGGCTGTACTTGGTGAAATGGTAGCTACTGTCTTTTCTCCTGTGTGAAGAGTGTGGAGATATTGCCAGTGTTGAAATCTCATCTCTTTCCAAATTCTAGTTGTGTGACCTTAAGCAAATTCTTGCACATTTTGTTAAACAAAAGATAGGATTAAAAACAGAATCTATATCATAACATGTTTGTAAGATTACATGGGATGATAATATTTGTACAGAATTTAGAGCAGTGTCTGCAACCTACCATATGTTATCAAATCTAAGATGCTATCAGTTGTGACATACACATTTTGTATACTTCTAAGAAAAGCAATGCCAGTTATAATATAAAATACTATCCATTGTGATACTGCTTATATATTAAAAGCTGAAGCAAGTATCTTAAGATCAGTGAAGTACAATAGTCAGTACTATATAAATGAACAAAATTTTAGACTGGTCAAGCTGATTATTTAGAGACAAGTTTGAACAGGGAAAAGAGATCCATTTGAATTTGTGGATAGTTTTCTTAAGTTGTAAGGAAACTACAGTATTAAATGTCCAAATCATTCCATGACTGTAGTAACTACTAAAGCATATTTCTTTTATGTTCTTAACTAGGTGTGGAGTTGCCTTCATTATAGTTTATCTAGAGCATCCAAGTTTAAACCATTATGGCTGTTAGGATGGAATATTTGTGTCCCCACCCCCAAATTCATATGCTGAATTGTGACTTCATTTATAGATAGGGCTTATGAAGTGATACGGGTTAAATGAGGCCATAAGGGTGAGGAAGATGGGGAGGAAACCCAGAAAACTGTCTTCCTATCATAGGAGGACAGTGTGAAGATGGTGAACGTGAGCCCTAATCAGGCACTGAATTGGCCAGCACCTTGATCTTAGAAGTCTACCTCCAAAACTGTGAGAAGTGCAAAAATCTGTTGTCAAAGTCACATTTTCTGCAGTATTTTTTCATGGCAGCCTGTGCTAACCAGAACGTAGCCCACAAGGAGCACTGTCATGAGAGAGAACTGGGGGGTGAATTCACCCTGGATTCTCACAGGGCAAGTTATTAGGTGTCAGGGAATATCTGACCTGTAGGTGCTTATCTGAAATTGGAAACAAAGGATCTCTCTACCAACTCTCCACCGTCCTCGCTTGTCACCGTCCTCGCTTGTCACCGTCCTCACTTGTCTGCTTACGCCATACTAAATCGCCACGCCATTTTACCAACATGATATTGACACTGTTATTTTTTAAAATTGCTTGCAATTGAAACAATAAAAAAGAGCTCAACACTCTTAAAGGAGTGCTCAGATAGGGCTCGCAGAGTGCTAAGGGCCAGTGACCAGGGTCGGGGACAGGTCACTATCACTGGGTTCTCACTCATGCATACAGTTGCATGATTACTCAGGCTCCACCAATGACAGGCTTTATTTAACAAACAGGATATGGGGGAAAGGGATTCTAAGGCCAGATTGCTTAGCTGTCTCACCCCAGATGGTATCCAGAAGTTTCAAATAAAGGCTGCTTGTGGAACGCTGGATGATGCTGCAGTAGCCCGCAGCAGCAGTCTGAAGGCTGGGCTGAATGCTGGACCAGGCAGGACAGAGTCAGGAGCACCGGGAGGTGGGCTGAAGAACCAGACGCAGTGGTCAGCTCTTTGAGATGCTGTGCCAAGTTGACAGTGTTCCCTGCAGGTGATGCCAGAGGCAGGGATGGAAGAAGTTGCAACAGCTATGGCTCTGTAAAGGTGTATGAGCTGTAGAGGTCTTGAAATCTATCGTGTCTGTAAAGGTCCAGAGAGACTACAAGGATCTACAAAGCCTGAAAAGTTCTGGTGAATCCCACAGAGGTTGACGGTGTGATGCGTCTCTCTCTCTCCAGAGGCTGGGAATGGAATCCTTTTTTGATTGTGGTCTGATGATCCTCTTCCTGTCTTTGGTGGCTCAGAGCAGAATGAATTAAGCTGGCTCTGGCTTTATATCCCTTTCAGGGTTCCCCAACCTACAAGTCTGATTGGACTGTTTAGCACTAATCAGCTCATTTTCTAGTTTTCAATCCACATAACAAAGTGAGCTTTAACCTGATTGGTCCATTTAGCTCACACATGATTGGTCCATTTTGAATCCTAGAACTATACATAAAGGGAAGAAAGGCCTAACCAGGTCAGGGCAAGCTCAGCCCTCCAACATTTCCCCCCAGCCCCCCAAGAATGCCACTTGCCTTAAGGTACCCATACTGTGGGGAACCAGTTATATAACTACCTATGGAATATCAACATTCTGTAGTGAATATTTAATTAGGTTTAATTTTAATCACTCATTTATGCTTCCTTGTATAGTAGATACAAACTTTGGTGTTCATAGTTTGATTTTTCTGGCTACTGGCTCTGCCTTCAAGTGTTATACAAATGAACTTTGCCTTAGTACTTGTTCTTGTGATTAAATTGGCTTTCACCAACATTTAAGATGGCGACGAGAGCAAAAATCCATAATACTGTTATTTTGTGGAAGGTCTGTTGTGGGTTAAAAAGTCCAAAGGATGAAATAATTCTAAACTAGTCTTGTTTTTGAAGTACATGTACCAAACCACACAATCCAAGCAAAGAATTAACCCATGTAAATCTTTGGGGAAGACTGTTTTAGTGAGTAGATGAGATTGCTTGTATTTCACAGAACAATTTATATGTAAATGGATAATCTGAAAGTCAGGAGGATGCTCAAAAAAGGTTGTCTTTCATTAATAATTCCCAAGTATCGCCTTCTCAATCTTGTTTACATTGTTTTTATCAGTGTAGAGGAAGCCTTCCCATCCTAGTTTAGCCAGCAGTGATGTGTTGATTATCGATTGCTGGGTAACAAATGATCCCAAATCTTAGAAACTGAAAGCAGTCATTAGATATTACTGCCCCCACACCTCTGACAGCAGGAACTCCACAGTGATTGACCTGCTGGTCCTTCCTCAAGGTCTCATGTGGGAAAGAAATGAAGCTGTTGGCTGGCGTTGCAATCTGTGAAGATGGGGCTAGGGTTGAAGTAGTCACTTCTGAACACACTCTTGTAACCAGTGGCAGGTGACGTCTGTCTCTGGACACTAGGGCTTCTCTATGAAGCTGCAGGAATGTGGCTTCCCCTCGAGTGAGTGATGTGGAAGCTGGTTTTTAAATCCCAATGGTGGAAGTGATGCTCCAAGCCTTCTGCTGCTGCATGCTGCTGTCACGAGGGGCAGTGCTGGCCTGACATGGAAGGGAGTCTGCTTACAAACTCATGTATGTGGCTTCTGACAGGAGACTTCAGTTCTTTGTTACATAGACTTGGCTGGAGGGCTGCTCATGCCATGGTTCACCCAGAGTGAGTGAAGGAACAGAGAGCGGCCACTGATCCTCGAAGTGCATTACCATCCCTTCTGCTGCATGCAGTTGGTTGTAAAGACAAATCCCGGTACTCTGTGAGAAGGACTGGGCAGAAGTGTGGGTACAAGGAGGCAGGGATGACTGGTGACCATCTTAGAGGTTGACTGGCGCAGCTGAAATGACCTTGAGCAGGACAGAATCATAGAATGATGCACTGAGGACCAGTCTTGAAAGGCATCCCATTTACTGTTGGCTAAATTCTCCATTGTTTCTGCATTCTCCTCATTATCTTCCAGTAAATTCTGTTTGCATGAAGTTAGCTCTGATCAATTTCTATTGTTGTAACAAAAGCCACCTAAGTGATAAACCAGATTCCAGTGTAAATTAAATTGTTTTGTTTTAGGACTATGGAAATCAGGTTTCTCATTGTTAGGGATGGGAGATAACAAATGTAGAATTGTGGAAAGTTGCCCAACCTGTTGAGCTGGGCTAGAATTGGAGATACCAGTGTGAATTCATGCTGAGTGCATCCACAGAGCAACCCTCCCTCTCTTTCTAGGGTCTTTCCACTGAAAATGCTCTAGTCACTTCTGCTGACAATGAGTATATCTGTCTGCCAAGGTCTAGTTTTCTAAATCTGACGCCCTCTAAAAATAATCAGGACTCTGTGGGGCAGAATGATGATAGCAGGGAAAAAACAAGGTACGCTTGGCACATCTTCTGAGCCTAAACCCTAGTAAAGTCTCAAAGAAGAATGGGGATATGTCAGTGATACAGCTGAAATCTGAAGGGTCTGCTGCCTACATTTGAGACAATTTCAATATTAATATAGAATCAGTTTCTCAGCTGTCACATTTATAATTGATTTGGAGAAATCATTAATGGATGCTAACAGTAACAGGTAGATGTTTGATGAAGACTAGGATATTTACATAGTAAGAATTTTAAGGGAGGACATAGTAAGGCTAATTACAAGGGGAAAAACAGTACTATTACAAATGGTGGACTGGAAGATACTACTTTAAAGATGTGATTAAAGGTTTATAAGAGGACCAATATGGGCAAGTGGGTGTTCCGTGCCTCCTACCTGAAGCACTGAAAGGTGTTTCTTCTGGGATATTCTTCTAAAAATGCATTTAATCTGATTCTAGCAAAGAGCAAAGATCAGACAAAAACGCAAACTGATTATACAAAATAACTGGTATGCACTCTTAAAATTTGTCAAGGTCAAGAAAGATAGTGACTAAGGAGTAGCCACTGTTTAAGGGAGGCTAAAGAGGCATGACAATGGAATGTACTGCTGGTGACTTTGTTGAACTGTAAACGGGGGGACATGCTGTACAGGATGTTACTGACATAATACCATTGTACCCATGTCACCGTTTCTGATATTTATAATGGTGTAAGAGAATGTCTTTGTTTTTGAATGCACATTAAAGTATTTAGGGGTAAAGAGTATCATGTCTGCAACTTAATTCTCAAATAGCTCAGAGAGCTACATGAAAGTAGAGATGATATAGCAGGTGGGGTTTAAAGTTAGGTTACCAATTAGTGAGTGTGGGTGAGAAGTTGGATGTTACTGTGCTATTGGCTATTTGACAGATTATCACAGAAGTCTGGGGCTCAGTGTGGCCATTTCTTTTCTTCGTGTCTCAGCATGGGTATAAAGCAAGGTGTGGGCAGGCCTGACTTAACTGTTTGCAGCAGGATCACCTTCCAAGGTATTCATGTTATATTGGCAGAATGGAGTTTCTTGGGGTTGCAGGCTTATATTTCCCCTTTAACTTTCCAGTGTTGTAAATATAACTAGAGCCATTAAGAAGTCATCGTGCACTAGAAAAATATGCAACTGAACCTTGGACAAATGAAAAAATAGCCTTGTATAATTGTAATATTCATCTTTTTTTTTTTTTTAAAGATTTATTTATTTGTACAGAACTGGGGTACAGGCCAGAGATGTGGAGGGTGAGAGGCTTCACCAGAGATAGAGTGGGGAGCAGAACAGGCAGATCGACGAAGTACACTGCTGAGGGGAGCAGCGGGCGGGTCAGGAGAGGTCTGCCGCGCCATATGGTCACCTCCGGGGCAGGCGGGAATCGAACTCATGCGGAAGTGGCTTTAGCTTTTTAGTGCTGTGCTTTAACCCGCTGCGCCACCAGGGAGGGCCTCATCTTTCAACAGTAAAATTTATTGAGTAAAATGCACAGCTCTTAGGTGTACAGTTCAGTGTTTGAAGAAATGTAAATAGCCAGGTAGCCAATGAAGATATGGAAAACACCCATCATCCAAATTACTGGCTTTTGGCCATTTCTATTCATTCTCCATTCCCCATAAACTTCAACTCTGCTGACTCCCATTACCATATACTAGACAGGCTGGGTCTGGAGGATTTGCAGTATGTCCTTAACACAGAAATTTTTATTTAAAAGTATTACATATTTTGCTTATTGAAGCAACAATATTGTTTTATAGCACTGTAATTTAGGGGACCAGGTTTCCACCACCTCAGATGTAGGTTACCACCCACCTCTGTTGTTTAGAGGCTTGAGGTCTCTTTACTTCCGGTCCCTCCATCTTGAAGCCAGTCATGGTGCTTACAGTATGGCTTAGGGTTTAAGTCTTCCTTCTTCAGCTCTCTGCTCGGGCTTAAGTGATTGCATCAGCCCCTACCTGCGTAACAAAGGGATACTCTCTCATACTTAAAATCAACCTATTAATAATCTTAATTATGTTTGTAAAATCACAGGTTTGCACCAAGGTCCTGGTATCCAATTCCTGCTTGCCACAGTTTCATAGACGTTGTAGGCATTCTTATTTCCTGCTTTATATAAATTTGAAATTACATTAAAAAAAAAAAGAAAAAAAGACTTGCTCATGTTCTGCTTGGTTTTATTTTGTCCTAACAGTAGTGGGTCTGCTTTTCTTTCTCTACCTGCCAGGTCACCACCAAATCAAGCAAGGCACCTGTGAGGTGGTTGCTGTCCACAGGTGCTGTAACAAGAACCGTATTGAAGAGCGGTCACAGACAGTCAAGTGCTCCTGCTTCCCCGGACAGGTGGCTGGCACAACGCGGGCTCAGCCTTCTTGTGTTGAAGGTAGGACCTATTTGGTTAGTTTCTTCAGTATCTCAAAAAAAATACCTTCAGTTACAGTCTCCCTGACTTTATTGTCTCCGCAACTCAAAGGTCACTGAGTCAAGGTCATGATCCATTCCCAAATGAACATTCTCTAACTCCACAGATTTCTTGATAAAGAAAGGTAAGTTGTTAATGACGTCGCTAAAGAGTCTGTAACGGGGAATTCTAGTCCCAGACAATCAGAGGTATTTTAATTCCTCCACGTCCAATGGTCTTGCCACTTTCTTCCATCACATCAGTTATTCCCTTGGGTAGGATCTTTTGCCCGTTGTCAAACTCTGTATTAAAAGAAAAATAACAGCTTAATTTTCTTGCCTCATGTTTAATGTTACAGACTAATGTTCTCTTTATATTTAGCATTTTATTTCAACCAGCACTTAAGAAGCATGTTCTTGGGGGTTCATGTATCATGCATTTGTTTTCTCTACAGCTAGTGGAATAGTGTGCCAATAGTTAAAACTTTTCAAAAATGAGTGACTGTGGATGGCTGTAGGTGAGGGTTTGGATTGATTCCTTTTGATGTCCTGACTCCTTCCAGCAAATATCTTGTTAGAAACAAGTTTCAGTCCCCAGGGGAACAGATACATGAGGTTAAGCCTTGTAGCAGTTTCTCTACTGTGGTGAGAAACCTCCCTGAAAATGAACATTTCCAGCCTGATCTGATGCATGTCTAAAGGTCAGCAGTTAAAACATACACTCTGCTCCCCCCCCCAATAGGCTTGTGTTTCAGTGGGGTTTATCAGCATCATCTCACCACCTCTTTCTCAGGCTTTTTATTTAAAGCCTGAAAGAAAATTTCCCTTCAATTATTTACTCACAAATACCTTCATTTGTACGCTATAATCACAGATAACACTGCTTCTACAGTGAGATATATAAGTATTCATGCAGTGTGAGATATGGCAAAATGAAGAATCTCATGTTAATTCAAGTCAGGTTTTGCTGCCATTTTACAAGAATCCCATTTTTAGATTTGGGATTATAGATAAAAGCCAGTGGACCTATAAAAGAAGAAAATCTTTAATGTTAAAAAAAGACATTGAAGGAAATGGGCTAAGTTTCTACTCCCTCAAGTGGGACAGGGTAGTATATTTTCTCCATCAGTTGAATCCCAATCATTCCCATCCTGCCTCTCAGTCGGTGCCCTTTTCTCAACCTTGCTGTTCCCCCACAGTCTAGGGACCCAACATTACATCTGACCAAGTTTAATATTCCTTCCATTTGTCTACCTGGTATTCAGAATAATCTTTGTACAAAAACAGAACTATTGTCACGCCCATACATAAAACCACACTTCAATTTTTTCCTATTGTCTTAAAAAATGACATCCATATTCTTCACCTTGGCTTATGAAACCCTGCATAAGCCGACTCCCACTTATTTTTGGGGGGCAGTCCTAGCCCCATGGGAGCCCTTCACTTCCCTTTGTTTATCTGTACATGCTGCCTGAACACTGCCCTCCTCCCTGCAACATACCTTTTTTCTTCTTAATTTGCGCTCACCTTTCCACCTTTCCAATCTCCTAATGTTCTTGTGTTTCCCAGTTCATGGTAAAATTTGAATGACAACTCCCACTTAGTTTGTAAGTTGCTTGATAACAAACTGGGCCTCTTCTGTCAGTACCTGGGAGGTATGGCTATTAAGAGATAAAACTAGGCATGGTAAAAAATTAAGTTCATTTGAAAGAAAAATTTGATTAAGTCAGGCAATTGCAGTCTACCAGAGAGAAGGTTTTCAAAGGTCGAAGGGAGCTGGGGCAAGAGATTTAGGCAAAAACAGGGGGTTAGTTATTACAGGTTATTTTCCTTTAGCATGACAGGGGTGTCTTAGGCAGATTACCCCACTACTGTTGATCAGGTGATCCTAGCTGAGCCTAATTAAGGTAGGTCTTGGTTCAGTGACATGTATTTTAACATAAGTGGCTCTGTTTGGGCCCCCCTCCTTTTTTTTCCCTTTTCCTTCAACACAGCAATTACTGGTAGCATCAGAAATAGTAATTTCTTACACTAAAGTACCTTGTTTTAAAATTTTATACATGTGCAAAATCCCCTTTGGCTATCACCTCAGGCATAAGTACACTTATCTGTTTGTTCAGTATATTTTTGTCTGTGTATTTAAGCTAGGTCTGTAAAAAATACAGAATTCAGTACAGTGTGTGTTTTACACAAAAGGTATCACATTGGATAGACATTTTTCAATTTATTTTTAACAGTGCTAACAATGGGGTGCCCCAGCAGGGGTTCCCACCACCACCATCCTTCCCCTTAAAGGTTTCTCAGTTCTATAGTCAGCTAGCAAGGGTTTGTTTTTCACCTTGTCTTTATGTGACTTTTAATTACTTCATAATCCATGTACTAGTGACACCAACATCAGCTATTTCTTAATCCAGCCTATCAATGTCAGGCTGTGAAAATATTGGATAAATAGCACATATTTTGAACTTGTTTTGATTTGATCACTATATAATCCCATTGTAGAGTTAGGTCATTTAGCCACGTCTTTACTAAAGCATACTCCAGTTGTGTCTATTGCCAAACAGACTCATTAACTGATGCTTTCCCTTCAGAATCAGTAAGGGATGGAGACCAGCTTTTCATCAGTTCAGCAAAGTTTTACATAGAACTTTCTACATAACACAGATGTTCTTGCTCTATATTGTTAGAGCTATAAATGCCCAGGATGATGTGTACCACTAATCAAATGTAGGCTAGTGAGTGTTTGGTTATTGTGTGAATTTAGATGGTAGCTTGTTGCCAGAAACATCTGTATTTGACATGCAGGATAAAAGCCTCATGTAAATTTGTAACTTTAATGCTACATTTGTGGCCGGAGAATACCAAAAGCCAGAAGGAAGGAACTAGATTATGTCCTCATATTTGAATCCCCTGCACCTAACCTTGTTTGAGAAACAATCGGTTTAGTTTATGTATGTTGTATAAAGATCACTGAGGTACAGACGCTGTCTTTTAGTCTCCAGTTAAGATATATGTCTGCTTTCAAATCCTGATCATCTACTATTCCTGATCTGAGTATGTTTCCACTAGGGCTTTTAGCAATACCTACTTAATCTTTATCCCATAATAATTATGCAGTTTCATGCAATTAATTGGCAAGCAGGAAGAACTAGTCTCTGCTACTAAGTTCGTCTTATTTGTCAACAAGCACAGAGAGGATCTAAAATATAAAATTCACTTGAATTTACATTTAAATTAAAACAAAGGTAAGACAATGTTGGAGTAAAGCACTAATTAATGTTGGAATATAGAATAGAAATTGGAATATCTTTATGCATTGGTTAAACAGAGGGAGAATTTAGCTGTTTCTCAACCCCGTCAGGTTTTGTTATAATTAATTTATGAAATCCCCCTGAATTCTTAAATCTGTCTTTAAATACACATTTAGGATTTGATTTAATACACACAGGGAATTACTTTCCTGAGGCCATGGTTACTGGAGTTCGCAGACAGACAACTTTAGCTGGTAAGCATTCTTCCTTTTGAATTGCCTACTGGCATATTGGGCTATTTCGTGGTGGGAACTATCTGTTACACATTTATCAAGATGTAGCTCTATAAACATAATGCTCAGTAGTTTTATGATAAAATCAGATAAGTGTGTAGTACAATGAAACTACTTTAAAGTTAAATGCTTTCTAAAGACTTTAAAAAAGACAAATAAGGTGTGGGAGAGAGACCCATACAGTCCTTTTCTTTCCATCTGCATGTGCCCACATTGCTTCCTCTTTTCTGGAATGTCAGGATTTGCTTACCTAAGGACAAGTAGTACCGTTTATCTTTTGTAGTCAGTATTGCTGGCTTTATGGATGGTGTGACAGGGTACAGGCTCCTTTAGATGTCTTCCCATAAGGGTCGGTGTGTTCTCTTGCCACCTAAATAAAACAAAATGCAGCTTCCTGAGTTTTCCTCAGTGGCTGCTGGGTGAATGATAATATGGTGCACTCTGGGAGAAAGATGAGTTTTTCCTTGCAGAGGTTGGTTCATTCATCAAGTTGTAATTTACCCCCTTGGAGGCTGGCATGTCTGTGGTAATGGGTAAGGATGGTCACTAGAATCAAGCCCTGTTCTTAGGGAGCCCACACTTACCTAGCAAAGACAGACTCTAGATGACATCTGAGAGAACGAGTCAAAGACACGGCGGAGTGTGACCCCATTACTAGCAGGAGAGAGCAGGTGCAGCAGCATAAAGTCTGACCACGAGTGGGAAAAGCTGCCAGGGTTCCACTGCCTCGGAAACCCTGGATGGTAAAGTTGAAGAGGTAAGCACAGAGACCTTAGAGCCGATCCAATTTAGGATTTCATGCTTATTTTCCAGGAGAATATCAGCACAGGTTTCAGGGTGAGCCTTGGAGGTGTGTGTGTATGTGGGAGAGATGCAAGTTCCATGCTTTTGAAACTGCCCCCTGTGTTTGTCAGCAAGTAGGATTGTTTCTGCAGGCTGAAGTTTTGAGCTGGCACAGACTCATGTGGGATTGAGAACTTCCCCATCGATGTATGGTTATGTAGTGATTTTGCCCTTTGGGGGGCATTTGACTGGCTGGAGACACTTGGTTTTTCTGCTGGCAGAGCTTGGTCCTATAGCAGGTAAAAGTCAGGAGTGTTGCTAAATACCGTGCAGTGCCCAAAATGTCAACAGTACTAAGGTCCAGAAACCCTGCCTGGAGGTCTCCACACTATTGGATATTCCTGCATGAGGTGACCTTTAGCTAGGAGAAAAAAGCTAGACCACCAAAACAAAAGTCTACACCTCTTCATCCACCATCCTCTCAGAATTCTGTGGAAATACTGATACATTGCTATTTGTGGAATGTGTGAACAGGTAAGATTGCTTTGTAGGGCTCTTAGTTCTTTTTGCTGTATCAGGCTAGCATGGCTTCTGTTCTTGAAACAGCAAAAAAAAAAAAAAAAAAAATACAAATTAGCAAGGCTTTCTACTTACCTATGTAAAACTTAATCTTAATGAATGGCTTAAATTTTTATTTTTGCTTACAGAACTGGGGTATAGTCCAGAGGTGTGTGTGGGGGGTGAGGAATCACCAGTGGGGATCAAGCAGCAGGGAGACGGGAGAGGTCTGTTGTGGGTCAGCTCCCTGGTTAGGGATCAAACTCACACTGCAGTGGCTGCAGACAGTGTCTCAGTGCTGTGCTCCACCCCTTGCACCACCAGGGAGACCCCTCTTGGCTTAGTTTTTAAAAACAAAAACCAGGGCAAATATATTGAAATAACAATGGTAATAGTATAACCGATTAAAGGTAAAATCCATATTCTATGGCCATTTTCTAGGTGACATGGTTTAGGAAGATGTGCTTTTACTTTCCTATCCATAGTTACCGCGTACAAACACCTTTTCCAAAAATACAGCTAAACCAGGGAGGTGACCCTCACAGGGCGCAGCAGACCTCTCCCACCTGCTGCTTCATACTCTGTCACTGGTGAATCCCAGCACCTCTAGCCTACAACCCAGTTCTAACATGCATAAATCATTAAAAACAGATCTAGTGTTGAAATGTGATCCTGTAGCTAGTCTTATGCAAAGGCCGGGTTTATTTAAGTAGCTACACAAATACATAATGTGTTTCACTGAATGAAGTGATACTTACTTTTGACCTGGTAGGGAAAAAAAAAATCTACTTAACAGAGTAAGGAAAAAGCATCAAAAGCAAAATAGCTAATTATTCATGTTAACTTTTCACCTAGAAACCATAGAAAGTACCAGCTGCTATCACCAAACCAAGCCTTCGCTTTCTTTTTCCTTCCTTTCTACATGAAACTGGAAATCCATTGCAGGTTGGCAGATTTTGTGTTTTCATAAGCCAGGAAGGTATGGGGCTTTTAAAAGAATTTTGTTTTAAAAACAGCAGTGCCACTACACTTTATCACTTAAAATGTGTTTTAGTAACAGGGGGGAAAAATGCCTCGTACAAACTCATTTTCCTGTGGCAACAAGGCTCAGTTAAGTAAGCAGATGTTGTCAGGGGTTATTTTAGTGGAATCAGAGCTTAGACTTTCTGGCTGCTTGGTGATCTTATTTACTGACTTTCAGGTCAAAACCTTACCTTACTGAGCCAACCTTAAAAGACTTTGGAACCTCTATTTTAGCTCCTCTGGTATCTATTACAGGGACACCTTAAGTGATGTCTTCTATAAGAGGAAAATGACTTCTTGCAAAAAATTTGAATTCCAACACAGCAATGCTCTAGTCTCAGAAGCCTACTGTGAAGCTGTCTTTATAAAAGCAGTGTGTGTCTTCCAATGAAAAGAAATAATTGCATAAGAGGTTAACTGTATAGTCTTCCTTTCTTATTTACACAATGCTTACTTTAAGGACTTTATTATCAATTTTGTGTACAATGAATGCATGATTCCATCATTTCGTTTTAAGCTGCTTTTCTGGGTTTTAGCATTTGAATTACCCTGGGTTCCTATGAACCCAGTTAGGAAGTACTGGAATTTCTCTATGAAGTTGGGATAGTCTAATTCATTTCCTTTGCAGGGAAATTCATTGCTAGATTTCTCACCTTTCTTGGTCATATTTTAGGCTCATGTCTATCCCCCATCCTTTCATCTCACGAGAGGTCATTTCTTTTAGGTACAAGACTTTCCCTGAGTTATTATATCCTCTCTTGCTCAGAAACCCTCCATGGCTCCCTGCTCCAGAGAGAATCAAGTCTAATCCTGACTTGTCCTGGAGAGCCCACACCCCAAATTGCTTACCAGTCACTTTCTTAACTTATTTCCAGTGCTTTCTTGCTAGCCCTGTGCACACCTGGTGACGCAGGAAAACCCTTCGTGTGGCTCAGACCGTGTGTACAGACCACTACTCACCATCTCCCAAGGTGTCTTTTGAATTTTTCATGTAGCGCTGATACTGCTTACTCCATCAGCTCCCACTGCCAGTGGAACATAGTTCGTCTATGGTGCAGTTGTAAAGATTGAAAGAAAGCATTTTAGATTCAGTTTTAACTCTGTGTATATATAACTTACATAACTTTTCCAATCCTGCAGATATTTTTTAAGAAGGGCCTGGAATCTCTTACCTATGTAACCACTTGGGACCAACTCATGGTATTCAGAAAGGACTGCCCAGCATTACGGATGGATATGACCAAATTTTACATAGCACTCAATAAACTATCACTGTAAATTGTGGCTTGTTTCAGAGCCTGCTGGACCAAGACAAACTTAGATTTTAATACTGCTTCGCTTAAAAATTCTAGTTTTTATTTCTGGAATATCTGCCTCCCTGCTTTTAAAGGTTGTTGGGACAATCAAGAGAGTAAATGTAGATAAGAGTTTAAAATTGACAAAACTCCATAGAATTTGAAGATGAGATTGTGGTATTTGGGATTAAAAAATATAAGCTCAGAGTTGGCCTTACTGTGCCATCCACTCCCGTCCAGGGACAGGCTCAGTGTTGACACCTTCTAATTTAAATAGCAAATGGTTGCCCTAGATCACAAATCTAACTCAGATGCTACTGGTTTTGATGAAAATAATGACACAGTAGCTCCATGTAGAGAAGGCGCAATGTCGGGGCTGCTGAGCTAATGCTGAAACCATCCTGTGTCCTCCTCATGCCAGGTTGCATTTGCCTGACAGGAGGAGAGTTTGCGGTGTACTGCTAGCTGTGTTACCACCTTCTGTCGCTGTTTCCATCTCAGTCAGGAGTGGTCGCTACAAGAGATGGATGGTTTAGGGAAGGAGGTGGGTGTTAGAGGGTGGACTGCCTCTGTCCACATGCTTCCCTTGACTGTTTTCAAACTGCCTTTGTGTAAGGTAATTAATCCCTGGTTTTCTCTTGTCTATAAAATGCAGGCAGATAATGTTTAACCTCGAGGTCTTAAGATTGCATTTAGGAAATGGAAGGAAGACGGCTATTAGCAAGATGCTTAGTACTCAAAAAATTGCAAATGGTAACAGCTGATTCTGTCAAACTATTGCTAGTCCAAGAAAAAAGAGCTAAACTACACCCTCCAACCATGAGCTCGGACCTATACCAGCCCATTGATTGACTTTAACTTGAAGAATCTGTGGGACTCACCATGAGAGTTGGTGACGTTTCCTCCAGTCCTCTTCCTCCGCCTCCAAGTCCAGGGAACTGGGCTGCCAGTTTCTGCCTAGTGGGCTTAAAATGCAAAGCAATTTGTTGGTGAATTGCTTCAGGGATGGTTAGGTAAAGAGGACAGGAATGCAAAGGTGACTGAAGTCGTCAGGTTTCTGGGAGGGGGCAGAGTCCTCCGCTATTCATCCAGCATCCGGCAATTGACTTCCAAGGGGTTGCTTATGAGCTGCTGATGCAATAGAAATGTTTACCGCCATTGTTAACTCTACCAACTAAAGATGATGATCGCAAAACAGATCCAATTATCATGGGTTACGTTCTGAATCCATCATAATATGAAGCATAGTTTGAAAGCTTACTTAGTATGCTTAACTTAGCTTAAATGTGCTCAGAATACATACCTTTGGACAAATTATTTAATTAAAAAGCCTATTTCTTAGGAAGCATTGAATACTTCATATAATTTATTGAATACTGTTCTGAAATGAAAAATAGAATGGTTGTTGACACTCAGGATAGCCTGGATGGGAGCTGTTACTACGCAGTATCACAAGAGAGGCTTTGTGTTGTATATCACTAGCTCAGCAAAGGTCCAAATTCAAAGTAGCGTTTCTATTGAATGCAGATTGCATTAGAATCATTGTAATGTCAAAAAATTGATTTTAGACAACAGTGACTCAAATCAGCCCGGGCATCCACAAGGATTCATTTTGTCCTTTTGACAACCTGGCGTAAGCTTTTATTTTACAGATGAAGAAACAGAATGAGAGGAGTTAAGCATCTACTTCAAGGTCCTTAAAAAAAATTAATACAGGCATATTCTTTAAATTCACACATGGTAAAATAATTCTTAACTATCTGAGATGTCAGTATACTAGTTAGTGTTGAGCTTTATGTCACACACATCTAGAGGAAGAAATGGTCTCATGAGTATCATTTGACCTTTGTTTTTCAGCTTCCATCGTGATTCAGAAATGGTGGTGTCACATGAAACCTTGTTTGGAAGGAGAGGATTGTAAAGTGTTGCCAGATTACTCAGGTTGGTCCTGTAGCAGTGGCAATAAAGTCAAAACTACAAAGGCAAGTATAGACAAAATTACTCTCACAATTTGAGCACCTTATTGATTTTATCCTGCCAGCAAGAGAACATTACTTGATACTGATAATCTCGCTTGGCCAGTGCCATCCTAAGATCTTGGTCTTTGTTGAGCAATGATTTGCTGTGTAAGCTCATTATTTCGGGTGGGGCCTATCAATCATTTCCTATCTTGCATGAAGACAAGGCTTTAGAGATGATAGATTAACATGTCAAAACATCCTGGCAAGAATCCATATACAAATGATTTGTGAAGATGGAAATCCATCCTGCTGGGAGGACATTTAATGGTTGAAGACCACTACAAGTCTCACAAGACAACAGTTTCCTCTTCAAGTAGTATTTCTGGTTTCTGAAGGGGTACCATTTGTCTACTCAATTCTTTGTTTCCCTTAAAATTGTTACTTCCAAATCCTTTCATGATTCTGTTTCATTGGACTACTGACCTGTGGCCGCTCTTGTTCCCTTCCTGTCTTCCACAGTGTCCACCATCATGTTTATGAAATATCTTCTAAGCTAGTTCACCCCAAATGTTCCCATGCTTCCCCTATTTGTTTGGTTCTCAAGAACCTGGCACGTTACCTTCCATTCATTTGTTCTGCACCAGACCTCAGCTTGTCCTTCTTACTATGAATTCCTTATGCTTACTGGCTGAACATTTTCTGTGTAAGAGAGCTGTGAAGTATTTCTTAGTGAAAATTAAGAAACAAAAACAGGCCATTCTGGAACTGTTACAGTTAAACATATTTGAATGTAGTAATTTTTTAGTTCTGGTCGCTATCTAATCTTTTGGCTTCTTGAAGGGATGATCATTTTGCTTATGTTTCTCTGAGTATTATGACTTACTTAAGAGTGCCCATTTGTCTTCAATCACTGAGATTAAAAGAGGTTGTATTCTAAATGTGTGTATGAGATACCTATTTTATAACATAGTAAATATAAATTTCAGCTGACAGATCTCAAATCCTCAGTCTATTGTACTGTTAGATTAATTCCCGATTATTGGTAATTTCAACTACATAATTTCAATTATCTTGCTCTTGTTACTGATACCAAGATGACAAAGATAAATGACCTCATATATTCAGGACAGTAGAAGGTCATGACATTTGTTGGTAGAGGAAGGAGGTTAATACTTTCATCATTTCTATGAGCCACCCAAAACAAGCTTTCAATCTTTGTAATCCCAAGCGTATTTGCAAAGCAACCCCTTCCTGGTGTTATACAAATAGACCAAGACAATGGTGTTTGGGAAAAGAATGATTTCTGTATTCTTATTAGAGTGGCACCCTCTTTGTTTACCAAAATGCCCTGACTGCAGATAAGGTGCTGGTGCTCTAAGTTTGCTCCCGCCAAATCCTCAAAGGTAGTGACATTTCATTTAGCATTTCAAAAAATCGTAATCATATAATGCAGTTCCCCAAGCTATCGTAATACTTAGCTCTGTTTTTTTAGTCATATGTCACTTGAGCATAATCTCAAAGTTTTAAAACTTTGTTTCCATTATTAACCCAAGTCTATCTGACTTGAACAGCATAAAATATTTTCTTTAGTGAATCTATGCACATAGAATACATTCATTTGTGGAGCTGTGATTGGCTTCCATGAAGAGCTTGGTGCTCACAGAAGCTATATCTCTTAAGCTCAGTGCTGACCTTATACTACAGATGAGACAGTGGTCCTATAAAGTAGAGCAATTGCCTCTCTAGAGGGGTATGAACTATATAACAAAGTAGATTCCATTTTCCTTAACTAGTTCATGCACAACAGCATCAAAATAACAAAAGGCTAAAAAATAAGATTTTTTGCAGTAAGCCACCTATGTCAGACTTTTATGTTCCATTTAAATGCAAATATGAAGAGTTAGCAGTCGAGTTGGGATATTAATAGCCTGAGATGGTGATATGAAAATGAGGGCACAATTCCCTAACCAGTCATCTTGTCTTTCCCAGGTATAAAAAGTTGGCATTGCGTTTACTCTGCCTGTGTAGTTTCAATATATCCAGAGAGGGTGGACTTATCTTAAAGCCAAATGTAGTTCTTGTACTGTCATGTCACACCATCTCACTTTTCCATTTCTTAATTTGTGCAAAATAACACTTATTTGCATTGTCAGTGTTAAGGCTCCTCCCATGTACATAATATCTACTTAGCATCAAAGCTAGTCAAAGTACAATTAACTCCTACTTCAAGAAATTTACATTTCTTACTTTTAAAAAATACCTACTGAGGCCCTCCCTGGTGGCGCAGCGGGTTAAAGCACAGCACTGAGAAGCTAAAACCACTTCCGCCTGAGTTTGATCCCCGCCTGCCCCGGAGGTGACCACATGGC